GTCGGCTCACATGCGGACCACCTAGACCTGATTTATGTGTAAACACAGTGTTCCGCACAATTTTAACTCATTCTGAATTTTCCAAAATGTAGTTCCATGAGATGTGTTCAAGATGCCCCAAAGGGCATTGTGGGAACCCTATCACTGCCAGCACTTGGGTGACAATAACGCCTGCCTGTGCCGCGTGCTGCAGCCCCACTGCGGTCTGCCCGAGCCCGTACCCATCGGCTACAGGTGGGGCAGTGCCCTGACTGCTCCCAGCTACGGGCACAGAGAAGCTGCCTCACCCGTGAGCTTCGGTCAAGGGCACCGGGGGACATTATCAGTATTTTCACAGGCGGGGTGCTGGGTCTGACGGGTCGGGAGCTGTCGGCACACCGGCCCGGCCCGGCCCGCGCGGCACCTTGAGGGAGTTGATGAGGGCCAGGTTGTTGAGCGTGATGTCGTTGTAGTTCTCCATGTCGGTGAACGCCTCCTCGTGCCGCCGCATGAGCATGTTGATCTGGCCGTTCTTCCTCTCCTCCACCTCGTGGATCTCGGTCTTTCTCCGCAGGTCAAGCTCATCCCGAAGCATCTTCATCTTCTTGTCGTACTTGGCCTCGATTTCTGCAAGGCGGCAGCCAACAGCGCAGCTCGGCAGGTGCAGCGCAGCTGGGCCCGTGCTACCCAACGAGCCGCTCCCGGACTGAGGCTGCGAAGCAAGGCCTGCCGCGGAGCGGGTGGGCTGAGGCGGAGTGCTTTCCCGCGACGCCCACAGAGGACACGTCCAGCCCACACCACACCGCCATCCGCTGTCCTCTGCCTGTGGCTGGCGCTGCTGACCAAGCCCTGCATGGGGCTTCTCAACAGCTGAGCATCCACTGACCCTAGTGGCACTAGCCACGGTCCAGGGGCTCAATTACTAACCAGACAGACTTCTGAGATGGAGCCTTCTCAGGCCAGGACCCCTGGAAAAGACCACCCTAAGAACACTGCCCACGAGACTGAGTAACCAGCACCTGCTCCTGGCCACCGGTCTGGGTGGTAACCACGGCCCCCAGCTCCCATGGAAGGTCGCTGTGCCAGGGCTCTGACGGCCTGTCGCCTTGCACACCTGTCACCTTGCACACCCTCTTCACCCTGCACACCTGGCCTGAGCCCTGCGCTCATAGGCCCAGCCGTGATCTGCCTTCTGATGGCTCCGCCCCACCTCCCGCGCCACCTCCTGCGACACATGTGTGAGACACTGACCTCGCACTGGCCTCTCAATTCATTCCGCATCCTGGTGACCTCCTCAGTGTGTTTCTGCAAAGGCAGAAGCAGGACGTTACTAGGGGACGGAGAGGGGCCTCGCCCTCGGGCTGGCCCTGCTCCTCGCCGTGCAGAGTCAGGCTCAGTACACCCCGTGTGGCTTCCGGTGGGTGCTGTCCCCTCGTCTCCGAGCTCATGGGCCATGCCCAGAACAACACATTTCATAACTCATGGCCCTTGGCTAAAGTCACCTCTGAGGTTCCGAGAATGTTAACGGACACTCCAGGCACTGAGCATACTCGGCCCCCACCTGCCCCCCGCGGGGTGGAGGGTGCCATCTGCACAGACCTCCTTCTGGGCCAGCTTCGTGACCACGGTGCCCTCAGCCTTCATCCCCATCAGGTGGTCAGGTAATTCTGAAGCTCATACAGCAAGTGCTTCACCTTCTGCTTGTAGACATACAGGCAGGAGGAGTACTACCCACTTGCCTGCACACACACGCTCACTGCACATGCACGCACACCTGCACACGCACACACCTGCACATGCACACACACCTGCACATGCACGCACACCTGCATATGCATGCTCACCTGCACACACACACACCTGCACATGCATGCTCACCTGCACACACACACACACGCCTGCACACGCACGCTCCCCTGCACGCGCACGCTCACCTGCACGCGCATACACCTGCACACGCACGCTCCCCTGCACACGCACGCTCGCCTGCACACGCGCACACGCACCTCCAGGGGCCCTGGGAGGACAAAGGTCAGCCAGAAAGAGGGAGGGGCCACTCACGTAAAAACAAGAGAGCTACAAGAAGTCAGGAGGGCTCTGGGGACAGGACACATTCAGCAAACAATAAAAAAAAAAATCTCTTGAATTTGGCAATAATCCAAACAATTATATCTTTCCATACACTCCTGGGAATTTATTCTAAAGAAATTTCTCGAAAGAACACAATAGCTTTCTGCTCAAAGATATTAGCTCCACCATTATTAAACCATCAAAAATTTATTTAAAAGAAATAGATCTAAGATGATTTTAAATATAGAAATGATTGAGAAATTAGAGTGTACCCACTACAAGATTATATGGTCCACGGTGTATCAACGTGAAAGGCGCATGGCAGGAGCAAACACAGTCACAAAACGCGGAATGGGGAAAAGTTCACCTTTAAAACTACGTGTTAAGCAAAAATATGCAAAATCGGTAGACCCCTGACAGTCAAGAGGTTTGGTCCAGAGCCAACTGTCAAACTGCAAATAGGTTTAAAAAAAGAGGGCAGGCTCCCAGTGATCTGGGCACGACCTCGGGCCACCCACTGCAGCACGACCTCGGGCCACCCACTGAGCATGACCTCGGGCCACCCACTGCAGCTTTCCTCGATGACAGCCCTTCCCCACAGGGAAGGCACGTTTCTCACTTCAAGAGAGGAACAAGGAGGTGAGGACCCCAGGTGGGGCGTGACTCCCCATGAGGGAGACACAGCACCCCGGCATCTGAGTAGGACCTCGGCAAATGACAACATCTTCAGGTCAGGGAACTTAGTGTCACTCACAGTCTAAACTAGGTTCCTCCCTACTGCGATTGGCTCACATTGTTAGGTTTTGCCATCACTCAGTATTTAGATTTCTTATAAATATCCAGGTACCTAACTTCTCTTAACAAATCAGAAAACAGACGGCACGGCAGCCCATTGCCCACAAGACAATAATCCACTGAACTGACTGCAGCTGTGCCCAGCCCCTCACCCCTCCTGGCACTGGACGCCTCCAAGGTGTCCATGCCTCGGACCTGCAATGGCGAGGCTCTGCGGACCCACCACCGCCATGTCACAGTTCCGTCTGCGCAGGGACGGGGAGTAAACAGGAAGACAAGAAGCACCCCAACTGCTGAGGCAACGCGATGTACAAGCCATTCTGCACAGACCAGCCGTAGTGACCCCCCAGAACACAAACTGCGCCCCACCACCCTCTCCTTAAAGTGCCAGTGGCTCCCCTGCATGTGTGGTAAGTCCTCACTTAACGTCTCCGATAGGCTGTGACTTTAAGAGAAACGGTGCACAAGGAAACCAGTGTCACCACAGGCCGATGCTGTAAACCAGAGTCCAGGCTCCCCAGCATCTCAGCCACCTTACAACACGCTGCCATTCAAGGGCCTGCTGTAAAATCGAGCCACTCTTAACCAAGGTGGCACAGGGCCTTCGGTCCCGTCAGACGCGCACAGCCGGTCGTCAGTAACAGGCTGGAGGGGGCACCGCTCCCGCTTGCCACTGGCTGCAGTTTTCAGGAGTCTTTTAATTAAAATTGTCATTATATAATTATGTCCTCTAGCCCTAAATTTCATCAAAATGGACAAGTAGCTTAAAATCACTCCTATTGTTTAATGGTGAGTAAAACGATCAACAAAAATACTATAGACGCAGGTACTATGATAATATCTGTGAAGGTCAGGGGCATAAAATGGTAAGATTGAAGACATAGAAAACTAAAAATAGTTTTTGTATCAGGAAAGCATTCCCTTCCAAATCCCTGGCTCTGTATAAAAAAGTTCTTCATTGTGGCTGCACTGCATTAAAAAAGTATATGCAGTGCATGTGGGAGTGCCAGTGAGGGCCACGGGGTCCGGGAAGGCCAGGCGGGCCTGGGCAGAGCCGCAGGAGCCCGGCTGTAGGGAGATGGACCAAGAGGCAGGGCAGGACGAGCGGGCACTCGTCTGAGAGGTTCACGGAGACAGAAGGCCAGAGACGACGCAGACTGCCCCACCCACCCAGGGCTGGGCGAGGCGCACTGCCCGCTCACCTGCTCCTTGCTCACGTCCTCCGGAGCGAGCCCGTCAACGATCGGGGTGCCTTTATGGGCGCCTTCGGTGAAAGAAGCGATGACTGGGTAAGGGAGGGAGGCTCTGTGTGGTGCCCGCACCTCTGGGCGGCTCTGATTCCTGCCCGGGGTCATCTGGGAGCAGCGTGCCTGGTCCGGACACCATCAGCCTCTCACTACTGAACACGCCCCCCCGGAGCCCATCGCTCCACCTTACGGGGTCCCACCCCTAAGCGCACTCACATTCTCTGCTGACGCCTCTGGAGAAGGAGACACCTTCCTTTTCAGGAGAGCGGCTCCTCCCCAGAAAGGAACTGAGGGGCCTCATCCCAAACACACTCCTTGGCACAGGGCAGAGACTGCCTTGGTGTGGGTGCAAAATTTACTTGGCCTCAAAAGGAAGAACCCCAATGCCAGTGTCCAATGTCACCACATGGGCCAATATGCTTGGTGACCACCGCAGAGACACCTGCACAACTGTTCAGAAGTCCACAGCCACGCGAAGCGGCCACAGGAGGCTCCTTCCCTCCGACTGTGAACCCGCCCCCAGCCCCTGGTCCACGGGGCTACCCCACCGCGGACACTCGGCCCCCTCTGCAGTTCTGGTGTCCCCCTTGCTGTCACCAGTCACAAGATGAGCGAGGACCTTCCGCCCCCTCGCACGTCCCCAGTGTCGCACCCCACACCTCGTCCTTCTGCCTTCGCGTGCTCCGGCTCCCTGCGGCCCGTGCTTGTGCGTGTGCATCTACGTGTCTCTAACATTTTTATGATCACAAAAAAATTTTATGGACATCTCAGCCAGCATGAAGAAGGGGCCGGAGGAGAGGAAAAGCATGCACATCGCCATACGTTAACAACCAGGAGAAGCGGTTTGCTGGTCTTTTCCCAGTTGGTTTTCAAAGAGCCACACACTGAAATCTTCATCCCTAATGCACGGCCCCCTTTCTACCCAGGCTCCAAGCGCCTCGCAGGCGTCCCGCCCACCAGCCCACAGCAGCTGCTACAGTTCCAAGTTCTTCATTGGGGGGGAGGGGGGCTGAGGGCCCGCCTACCTGAGAGGCAGGTGGAGAGCTGTGGCTGTCAGCACAGGCCAGACTCCTCAGAACTTCTCCAAGGAAATAGCACTGCCCTGGGCATCCCATGGGCACTGGAACCCCTGGATGCAGAGGGACCTCCAGCCACCCTGGCACGCCCCGACACTCTCCATCCCAGCGACTGGACGAACTGGGGTGTCCCTGCCCCCGCTGTCCTCCATGGGGCATAGGGCGGCAGTGGCTGTCCCAACGCAGGTTGCTGACAGGAGCCTGGCCCAAGCATTGCGGGAAAGTTCCAGAGCCGTCCCTTACGGGAACCGTAAGCGAAGCCGCACGTTAGAGGTGCGTGAAGAGAGTGGGCACCAACCCTGCACCCGCACGCCCAGGTCTCTGCTCCGCGTCTTAGCACGAACCAGGCTCGGATGAGCAGAAACGATTTCCACTCTAGTTCCCTTTAAAACGGGACAGGCTTGACGTCTGTCCGTCGCGTGTGCAAAACTCACTTTCCTTCCCCTTCTCAGGCCCCAGGCCTGGTGCCTGCGCCACGGACTGCAGTCCACTTCGCTTTCGAAGGGTTCGGGCACCGTGGGCCGAGCCTCCACGTGAGGTTCTGTTAGGACAAGGCAGGCTAGAGGCTGTGGGCCAAGGTCTCCAGCCCCCGGAACTAGGGAGAGGCTTGGTACTGCAAGCCAAGGTCCCCGCTCCAGCCCCTGACGGAAGAGCCCAGGTTGGGGGCCAAGGCTGTAGTCTCCACTCGTTTCTCTAGTCCAGGGGACGGGCTCGTCGCTGGGGCCAACACCTGTACTCTCCCTCCTGTTAAGAAAAGACGGGCTTGGGACCGGCGGCGAGGCCTCCGCTCTGATGCCTGTTGGGAGGTGACAAGCTTGTGGCCATGGGTCAGGGTTTCCACGCGGCTTCTTTTTTTGTTTGTTTGTTTGTTTGTTTTTAAGCGAGGCAACCCCTGGTTGACCTCACAGATGGCAAGGACCTTGTCAGCTTACAGTCCCTTATTTTTTATTTTTATTTTATTTGTTTACACCTAAAGCACCTGGTCTTCCTGGGTGGTCTCCCATCCAAGTACTGATGAGGCCCGACCCTGCTTAGCTTCCGAGATCAGACGGGATCGGCTCGCTCAGGGTGGCCTGGCCGTGGACTCTGCTTCCTTTTAAAAGGAGACAAGCTTGGTGCTGTAGGCCCAGGG